ATGCGTATATGATGTGCATTTCGCGAAAACAGGCAGTAGTCTAACGTTCTCTCTCTCTCCTCTCTTCCTTCCGGACGTTTTTTGTTTTCTGCACGTCACGTCTCAGCCGCACACAAATGGGGGTTCCCTACAACAGACGATGATGGTGTTTGTGCTTTGTTTCCCGCGTGCTCAAAATCTGGACAATGAAGAAAGGCAGCAGTACTGTAGAAAATAGTCCGATCCGCGAGCACTAAATAAACAAAGAGAGAGGGGAGCAGGGGCGGAGACAAAAAAAGCAGTGCCAACTTAGGATCGGGCCCGGAGATAGATACGAAACGTCAAAATCGGTCAAGCTGTTGTGCGCCAACAACCTTCTACCTTCTACCTACATGGCGCCAATACCCACTACACATCGACCGCCGTTGCCGACACGGGGAGGCTCACCATCGCCTACAAACGTCGTGTGGGTCAACCGCAGGGTGGGCGAGCGCGCCGGCGCCGGTGCCGGCAGTCGGGCGGTGGTTCTTCGGTCGCCGCCGCGCCCTCCGGCCGCTGCCGCACCGCCACTTCCACCGCGGACGTTCATCTACACCCCGCTCTCAACATCGGCCACCGCATCGCCGCCGCTCGCCCGCTTTTCAGGATCAGCAGCTCCATCGCCTATCTCCGTGGTGTCGTCGTCATCACCGCCCGTCGACCGCGGCCACGCCGCGCCGTCCGACCGCCGATGCCGCTGCCGCCACCGCTGCAGCCCGCCCGCACCGCTCCCGGTGTCCTCCGCACCCGCCGCATTAAAAAAACGAGCCGTCAAAGGGGTTGGGACGGGGGCGGAGACGGGGGTTCATGGCCGCACGCGCCGCGACTGGGCGCTGCTCACGGAGCTTGAACACAACTGCCGCGGTCGCCGTCCGGAGGCGGAACCGGGTCGGACTGCTGCTGTCGATGATATGACAAGGATGGGCTCATCTCGTCGCTCGTCACTCCCCGTGAGGCCGTCGATCAAGGACGCCGCGACCCGCGGCCGCGGCCGCCGCCGTATCCGAGTTTGGAGACCGCAGGAGCGGGGGGTCTGTGGCAGCCGGGGGGGGGGAGCCAGGGGGGGCGGGGGGCCGCATGTGTTCGAAACGATGTTCGCCGCCCGCGACGATGTTGACGCCGATCTTCGCGCCGAGCCCCCGCCCGACAAGACTCCAGACCTACCCCACTGCCTCGCCAGCGACCTCCGCGTACCGAAAAGGAGGCCATGCCGTCCCAGCACTTAGAGATGTGGGCCCAGCACTTAGAGATGTGGGAAGATTAGGATGCCGTTGGCCGCGAGTGTTTTTTTGGTTTGTTGGATGAAGGCAAAAGTTGAGCCAGCGTAGCAACCAGTAGAGAAATAAAACTTGACGGACTCGGGCATTATCTTTGTTGAGAAACACAATGACCACTACACCACCAGTCAGCGCTGACTAAGCTAGCGGTCTAGTGGTCATCGTGCTTCTCAACAAACCTTATCAATGCCAAGCGGGCTTTTTCCTGCCTGTAAGGCAGACGAGCACGGATGGCCGACGGAATTCTTCGAGGCAAGACTTGTAGCGCGTGTAGACATGCAGAGGGCCTCGATTGATCTTGGAGAATCTTTTGCACCCACACCGTCTCTGTGTCCAGTGTTCGTTGGCGGCTTTGGCATGTGAGCAGAACCTTGCCTTGTGCCATTTCCACATTCAGCAAGCATTTGTGCAGTCTGAGATTGACGAGGATGTTTTCTTGCGTCCACCGCAGGGCTGTGGCAGGATAGATAGCTGGTCTGATCGTGAAGCTGTGCAAGAAGAGTCTGTACCGTTTGAAGCAGGCCTGACGACAATGGCATGTATGTGCACCTACCTGGCGAGGTGTTTGTTGGCGTTTTATTGTTTTTGCAGTCTCCGACGGATGGATGCGTTGCGTGTGTTTTGCGATTGATGGAGGAAGGACATGCGACAATGATCGTCGTGGTCCACGTGGATGGCATTTTTGCCGTAGTAGGGCAGAGGGAGAGGTAGGTCTGAAAGTTTGGCAGGAATCTCTCAATGAGATGGTCCCCGTGCAGAACCTTGGAGAGTTGGGGTGGCAATCGGCGTGTGCTATTTTTACGAGAGAAATGTAGGAGCGAGGGCTGTTGAAGATCTCGCAGCAGAAGTCTGCCCAAGAGCTGGCTGTTGAGTACGGTGTTGAGTGGGGGAAGAGTGCAGCTGTGCCTGTTACCGTGAAAAGCTCGTTGACTTTGGCGAGGAATGAAGCATGCGCTGATGTTCCTTTTCGGGAGTGGGTAGGACCCCTGATGTGGCTGGCCACTCAAACACGGACGACGAGCATCGCGAACGCAAGAGCGGTAGCTAGCGTGGCATTTGTGCATCATCATCTCCCGAGTTGATGCACTGGAAGTCAGCTGACTTGGTAGCCTAATGGTGATGCCTATCAGTCAGGAGGGTCACCTTATGCCTCCTCTCCTGCGCGCACGCAGACATACTCTTTGCCATATAAAATAAATGCCCACTTCTTCTGTCAACTCCAATAAACACCAATTTTAGACTCCTGCCCCCTTTGGTAGGATCCATCTGAAATACTCGCTTTAATTTTTGGGTAGGGAGACACCCTCTACGTAATAACCCTAACCCAAAGCTGACTGCGATGCTCCAATACAACCGGGACGACAGGTAATATACGTAGTAAATGCAATAGTACCCAGGCAGGATTCAAAGTCACGACCAGCACCGGAAGGGGCTACATGAATCAATCATCACCAGGTCGCACGGGGATTGATTACAGACGGGCCTGGAGATAATAGGAAGTAACTGTCAAAATCGGGTCGAGGCTCAATTTCTTATTTCGTCGCCACTGTACTGTACTCGTCGAGCACAGCAAGCGTTATTTAGTGTTGTAGTAGGGAGCTTACTGCAAGGATCCACCGTTCGTTGAGGTGTGCTTCTGACCCAGTTTTTCTCATTTTGTTCGTGAAAATGTTACGTTGTCTTGCCTCTCTGTTTCTTCCCGTAATGCAAAATGTTTCATTCTCTAGACTAACTGCTGTTGTTGTAGGGAGGGAGGGGGGACTGCTGAGTGGTCCCCGGAGCTGGGCCATTCATTGTCGACTAAATACTTTTTAGGTTTCTCATACCACGCCAGAAAGAAGTAGACTGTACGCCAAGCTTCGTGTCTCCCCACGTGTTGCAAACATCGCCCAAAGCTGGCATCTGTGGCCCATCATGGCGTACGCACATTGATTGCAACAAAGGAGAGACCCTTCCTTCATGCGGACTACAATATTGTTGTGCACTATTCGCAGGGGGTGGATAACCCACCCAGAGGAGGAGTTAGTCAAAACCAGAAACAGAGGGTAACGCTGCTGCACCGTCATATGCCTACTCCCCCCGTGTTGCTTCGTGAAGGTCGTGACTGGGGTCCCCTGATCTACATTGATTGATTGATTGATTGATTGTTGTTGTTGTTGTTGTTGTTGTTGTGTTTACAATTGATTGATCGGGTCAATTTTTTCTTGCGTGCGTGCTCGCGTTCCCATTTTTCCTTGACCACACGTTTGTTTGAACGCTTTTACGGGGACGTAGGCTTGCCGCCACGCCCTCAGCAAGCCTGGGCACTGCAATTGTCCCTTTTGGGTTGGTTCGTGCATGTAATATCTATCTGTCTGTTCGTCAGGTCTTGTTTTCAAATCAATTGTGGTGGGTGTCGTTTCCATACCACTCTGTTATGTATGGGCCAAATCAACAGCTGCAGTGTAGAGTAATTATTCTAATGAGCCCTCCACAGCTAAGGTTTGAGCTGCACACCGTGTCCGACGCTTCTTTCACCTGATCTTGCGTACCGTAGACAACAAGCACACCATATACGACACAAGGTAATACACCCCTTGGAGCTATTTTCAAAGCTCGATTACTCCACGACCAAGAGGATGCATAATGAACGAAACGATACATTTTCGGAGAGCTCTCGACCAGAAGCGTTTAACGCCGCCGTTCTCGGCGCTGTGACTCTCTCTGTGCTGTTGAGAAACCGAGCTCTGAAAATCAGGCCAGGGGGTGTGTTATCTTGTGTCGTATACGGTAGTTCAGTATCATCTCCAGCAACATCTATCTACAGTACGTACGGAAGATATATTGCAAAACGAACGAAATGATTAATGGTGTCATACAAGCACATCAGCCTGGGTTGCGTTGAAGCTTTGAGAGACGTTTATCTGCCATAAAAGCAGTATAATCTACCCACGCACATACGCGTGCTCGATTGATTTATAATGTTTGTTTCCGTTGCACGATCGATCGACAAAGTAAGCACAAGATGCGGAACACTCTCAGCAGGATGCAGCGCACACCCTTCCTTCTGGTAGCTGAGTATAGTTATAGGCACATTCGTCCCCTCCAAGCGAGGAAAGCGAACAAAGCCTCTGTCGGTGACATTTATGTGTGGCGGCGAGAGTTATTCGTATCCACATTTGACACCTGTTACGTGGAGAGCGCGATCATCAGGTGCATCCCGTGTAATAGTTCGAAGTTCAAAGTACTGCTGTAGTTGAGCCAAGATGAGCGGCCGAACCGGTGATGACGTCACGAACAGTGACAATTCCACAATTCCCGCCGTCCATTCTGTCTTTTGTCTTTGTTCCGGCGCGCTGACGCTCATCATCACAGCATACGCCCACACGACCAATCAAAAGCGTGGGTGCTGCCTGCGATCGATCATCGCCGGGTATCTATGTACGCCCTATATCGCCCATCATATGGAGTACGACGTCCACGCATCTATCTTCAGCACCCATAAACGCAGCTCAAACAAGAGACGAGACGCGAAAAGTCGGGGTAAAAGAAAATTTGCCGATAACCCGGCGTGCGGATGAAAAAATGAGAAAAAAAAAAAAAAGACAAGCTGTTTCCCCCGCGGGGCGAAAGGAGCAAGAGAGCGGGGCGAAGAAAAGGAAGGTGCCCACCCGAAAGAGGTGATCGTCCACGTTCCCCCCACACCGCACACACGCTCACTCACAAGCACTTCTGCTCTTCTCTCCCAGCAGTCCTTCAGCTCGAGACCGACCACACACACACCCATCCCTCTCCACAGGTATGCATGCGAGACAGTACAATACTCTTGCTCAGAGAGCGCGTAGCATCAGCCAGCAGCAGGTCAGATACACGGTCTACCGTATCCGGGATCTGATGAGTCTTGCTAGACCTTGGGCGACACACACCCAGACACACCAGCGCACGTCTTCACACATGCGCGTGCCCATCCTATCCGCCCATCCTCTCGCGCGCATTTAGAGAGAGGACCACACGTGACACTCAAGTTGTGGTAAAGTACCACGCACGCACACGAAACACACCAAAAAGGATGGGTCGGTCAGCATTTGGCATCCGGCCGCGGCAACTGGCTATCGATGCCGTGGCTGAGCAAGGGAACGTGCGTTGCCTCGGGGCGTAACATCGCTGTATACACACGCTGCACTGCACAGCCGTAAACGCTGTCCGACTACGACGTATCTCTGATTCTCTCTGGTCGCAACCGCATGGGGTCGGTCTCGCTTTCGTGCATATACATGTATCGTGAATGCGTTTGCGATAGACTACTGCTGTAGGCCTTGACCTCTTTTGTTACCGAAAGCGGCGCATACAGCAAGCAAGAGGGTGGGCGCAACGGTGAGATCTTCGGTGTTTGTACGGATGGATCCATGACGGGAGATACCACCCCCGACAAGATCAATATGGGGATACCACAGTACCACAACTATTTCCCGTACGGAAGGCGTGTGCTGGGTCGACATGCCGAGATGTCAGTGATAGCAAGCGCGTGAAAGTACCCACTCACCAAGGGCACCAGGGTGGAGTAGTGTTGTGTGTTGTAGGTGACTACTTGTACATGACTTACAGCAGACGTATGTGCGTTCTGTAGTACAGTGTATGTACTCCTATTGAGCAGGCGAAAACACGAGGCGTACGGGCGAACATTACAGTCAGTAGACACATTACTGAAACACACTAACAGCGCCGCAGAGGACAAGCCCAGACGCTTTGGAAGTCTATCGGCAGGGTGCGTGTGTGCCAGGCTTACCGTCGTCGTGTGGTCCTGGTTGTGTCCTACTACACCAACTGGTACGATCCCGATTCATCGAAAACGCTCTCTTAGATATTTCCGCCTCTCGTCGAATTCCTTGTATGTACCACCCCCTGCGCTCTTGTTCAATTTCTCGCTCTCACTCTCGCTCCCGCTCGGTCCGTCCCTTATCTCACCGCTTTGTCCTGCCCACATCCACTAAAACAACTCACACGACACAGAATCAACGACAACAAGAAGATGCCTTCCACCGCCACCCTCAACTACTTCGGACTCCCCGGCCGGGGCGAGGCTACCCGCGTCGCGCTCGCCTACGCCGGGAAGGATTTCGAAGACAACCGAATGGGGTTCCCTGAGTACGGTGCCTGCAAATGGGCGGGCAAGGGCCTGCCCGTCTTGGAGGTGAGAGAAGCCAGCTGAGCTACAACTTAAGACTTCGTAACCGGTCGTGTGGATATATATAATGTTTTGTGCTTTCCGCAAGTGATCGGCTCCACGTGTACATGTAGTCTTCCTGTCTGTCCCTTCGTTTCGTTGCACACAGACCATTGAATGGGCATTTCACCATCATCGCGAACTTAGTCAATTATGTGTGTCAATGGCATGCACAAATGCGAACCTTGGCAGGATTCACGGACCTAATCGGCCATATTATGGCGTAGGTCAAGTCCTTCATTTTCACAATTTCGGGGTGGGTGGAGCGCGACACGGAGTTTTGTGAGGGTTGTTTCGCGTTGCCACAGCGTAGTGTGCATATCCCCCCAACGGCATGTAAGCGTGGGTCACGCAAGGTGACAAGGCCGCGGCCATCGCCCCCCTCCTAAACACGGCCTCGTCGAACAGCTCAGATGAACGGCACGAGAAAGTTGCACGTGCTTGGCCGCCTTCCTCCTGTATTCCGCCATCGCCCTGACATACCGCCCCCCCCCCTCATTTCGCGTATATTCTACATCTGAAAATCGTCGCCAGATGGACGATGCCGAGTACACCCAGTCGACCGCCCTCCTCCGGTATGCCGGCAAGCTGGGAGGCCTGTACCCCGACGACGCGCTCGCCGCCCTCAAGGTATTTACACTCTTCTATCATGCACAACGCCAAAGGTTTCTCGTTTCCTAGCCCCCGCCCCCCGCCGAACGAAACAAATGTACGGCAAGTGTGTGTTTTTGGTTCACCCAGAAGACGTGTGCGTGACACCGTAACCGTGAGAGAGAGAGAAAGAGAAAGAGGAGAGGGAAACCTTATTCGCATAGCGTGCGTCACCGTGCATAATTTATTTCCCTTCTCAGTTGGTGCTTCTACTACTACTGCGTTCTGCCGTTCGCTGTGTTGGTCAGCAGTCTACGCCCCCTCTCGTTCTCTCCCACGGTCTCCCCCCCCTCTCTGCTCTTTCTTTTGTTCCTCTCTGTCGCACCCAACGCTAAACATGTCGTCTCGCTTGCTCCCTTGCTCGGCATACAATGTCCACGGCAGGTGGATGAGATCGTGATGATCGCGGAGGACGTGTTGACCAACATGTTCAAGTGCATGGGCCAGGAGGACGACACCGTAGCCAAGGGATTGCTCGAGGGAAAGGTGGGTGTGGGTTGTCTGATGAAAGGATATTCAATAGTGAAGGCATGCGTTTCTCGTTGGCATCTTGAATGCCGTTTGAGCCGAGAGCGTTTCGAATGGTGTAAAGACATGTCATGAAACATGCCGGAAGAGGAATCGACGACTGAGATTTCGCATGCGGAATACCGTGAGAAAATACGGAACACGTACTGGACCGTACAACCAACCGTTCCCATGGAAGCCGATCCCAACAACGTCCGTTCTCAATGATTGGTTACTGTCGTGAACTGTCTCCGGCCGTTTGTTTACCTGAGATCACGATCTCGCTAACCTCCCCCAGCCCTAACTGTCTCACCATGCCGATCGTTTCTGACCATGCTCTCCTTACTCGAATCCTATCAACTGGAACCAACAGATCAAGACCCTGGTGGATATGCTCACGTCAAAGCTTGCGGCTAACCCGTCCTCCAAGTTCTTCGTCGGCAACTCCCCCACCATCGCGGACCTCCAGGTACGTGCGTGGGCCCTTCCTCAACCCCCTTCCAAACGTTTGTGAAAGTATCGATGGAATGCTCTGTGCTCGTCGTCGAATCTGTTGCTGTGGTTGTTGTTGTCATTGTTGTCATTGTTGTTGTTGTTGTTGCTACCGATGTAGATCCTGCTTTCTCGCGCTCTACGGTGTTAATTGTTTCAATGACTACTCACCTCGACCCTTGCCGGCAGGCACCAACCCCCTTCGATAACAAATGGCCGTTAAGAAAACAATTATCACGTGCCAACCCACGACAATAACACTATGTATTGTTGATGGTGATGACTGTTGTGTACCCGTTGATCCCAAGCCCCTTCCCCGTACAAGTCCTCGGCGCGTGACGCACCGTAACATTTTTTTGCGTTGCCGCGCGAATGCACGTGGTGATCTTGGACGCCCAGGAGGACTTCTCGAACAAGCGCCCCCCACCCATCACCCCGGTTTACTGATGATTTCCATCTCCTTTTTTGTTTGTTTGTTTTTTGCTGCGGCAGGTGCACGCCGTGATCAAGAACTTCGAAGCGAACTTCCTGACGGGTCTCCCCACGACCCACATCGCGGACACCGCTCCCACGCTCATGGAGATGCAGGCTGCTCTCTTGGAGGACCCCAAGGTACCGTTCCCTACGGTTGCTGTCGCGTATCGTTAACTCTGCTCCTGTACCGTTGGCGCTACATCCGTGTGCTTGCGAGGAACACGCCGCACGCCCTTCTCCAGGCCAGAGTTATCAGGACAAACGTCGAACGAGCAACACAAGCGAACGTCTTCCCCCCCCCTCTCTCCCTCCCTCCCTCCCTCCCTCCCTCCCTGACAAACACCTAACCTATCACAGGTGAAGGCGTACTACGCTTCCAAGGCTTAAACATACACCGGATATAGGGAAGGGCTTCTTCACCCACTGGCGACGGTCGGCATGGCCGAGGACATTTGAGACTCGCGCGGATGCGGCATGTGCACAGCACATCTCTGTGGTTGACCTATTCCCTGACGACAGTGGTACATACTGTAGTCACATCTTGACGCCGTCCCTTCCGTGTGTATTTGGCATTTGTTTGCTGTAGGGTAGTATGCGATCAGGAGACCTGTGTGTGATATCTTTAAGTTTTGTGGAGCGTGGTGTGTATTTGATTGGCGTGGCGTGGTTTGTCTGGTCAGCCGCGGGCGTAACGCACAACTCTGCTGTCGGCTGGCCGAGAACTTTTGGTTCATTCGAGTGTGTCTGGAGATAGCAAGTGCGCGAGTGAGAGCGAAGGACCTATTTTGGTTGTTTTGCGTGGCTATTCCATGCTTTCGCAGGAGCCACTGGATGCAAATGTATGAGCGCACTCCGGCCCCCAGCGGTGTAGCTAGCCGTGACTCGGTACATAACACCCTGGTAGCTTTATGCTGGCCGTTGATGCTTGTCGGATCTCTGGTACTATAGTGCGCGCAGCTGTTGTGATGTAGGTCGGGTGTTGTTATCATTGAGCGTTCTTGCGGTGTTTTATTTCAGCCACCAGGATTGCATGCATGCATGTGGTTTTCAGCGATGTTGCACGAGCTTTTTCGGAGTACATTGGTTCAGGTAGGGAGAGACCTACTCTGTGAAAGATGAATCCGTTGACAGCGTGGTCTTAGGGTAGGTCTTAACGAAGGCATCAGATCTCGAAATCACATTTTGATACAAGAATAAAAGAGTCGGATCTACCGAATCCGGACAGAAATGGCCTGTGTGTCTTAACGTCTTAACGGCAGATCTGAAAAATGGAAACCAATCTCTGCAGTCCACCGCGAACAACCCGACCGAGAGGTCCACCGCTTGCCGACTGCCAGGTTGCTGTTGTGACGTACTGTTATGACGTGGCCACACCACATGGGAAGCTATCGCTCCCGAGAAGCACACACCAACGCGTACATGGCCTCTGTGCGGTACTGACGCGATGTCTATGCATGTGACACTTTGAATCGAGCCTCGTCCGACGGACGAAAAGCAACCAGTTCGTATCTGCATTTGAAGTTCGACAACCCACGGGAGATTGCCCCACAGACCAACACATCCCACACACTTTTTTTTTCGGCGCCAGTCACGTGCAACAACGATGCGCAGTCACCCTCCCTTTGGGTTGGCTATTTTTGCTATCTCTCTCCTCTGTGCTCAGCGGTGGATGGAGTTCGTGTGGATGGGGGTAGGTGGGCACGCGCCGTGCACGCGAGTAGACCGTGGTCCCGCAACTATGGTTGCGGTTCACCCAAATCGGGATCCGATTAAATGACTAAACAAGTCCAGTACCCAGCCGGTTTCCCTCCACTCACTGAAAAGACTCCACCACATCCCGTTCGACTGTGGGTATATCTCGAATGGGTAGTCTTTCTATGTGTGTTTTTATTATCCCTTAATTTATTTTACCTTTCTTCAAATCCCGATTTGGTTTTGGGCCGTCCTGTTTTAAATCCTAAAGATTAAGATTCGACGGGTTCCATAACTTTTCATCCAATCAACAAGAGAGTTCTTTGGATCTTCCGGTCTTTTTGTAACCAAATCTGAATGTGATTTCGGGATCCAACACCACGGCTGTGGACTGCTGTAGCGTTCCCTCGTGGTTGCACAGAGGCAAAGGGTGACGACGTGACGACGTCCTTCGGCCTTGTGTCTTGCAAGCATGTGTTTCGGAGGCCAAATGATGTAGTCTACATGTGGTCGGAGTTGTTCGTGGATACGCGGCTCGGGAATAGACAAGCAACCCTTGAGCCGTAGTACACGAGAGGGTGGGGCCAGGGAACTGACCGGCGAGGGAATTTTCGTTTTCCGCTCCTACTCCCGCTATCTTACATCTCCTACCTTTCAAAGTGGGCGAAGGACGTTTTCCTTCTGCGACGTTTGAAACAAGCAACAGACACGACCGGTAAGATTGCACACTGTTCGGGGAGACAGCACTTCGCCGATGGCCCGGGCGGACGAAAAAAAACGAAAAAAAAAAAAGAAGCAAGTTGTTTCATCCCGCGGGCGAAAGGTCGGGCAAAGAATGGCGGCCTACGGGAAGCGCTAGCACGATCGCACGTTCCCCACACACCGCACACACGCTCACTCACAAGCTTTTCCACTCTTCTCTCACAGGAGTCCTTCAGCTCGAGACTGACCACACCTCCATCCTTTTCCAGAGGTATGTGCGCCCACCGGTACGAATGCTTTGCTCATGCTCTGCAGGTTACTGTGCTCTACCATATGCAGTAGTTTCATTAGCCAGCAGCAGGTCATCCGCAGAGGTAGATCCGTTTGGGGGGCCTGCTGTAAATGCCTGCTGTAGCAAGGTAGTGTCCGATCAGGACACATTTCTGATTCTCTCTGATCACAACCGCGTTGGGGTCGGGTACGATGTACCTCTTGTAACCGATCAGCATACATATTGTAGACCGTGTGCAACGCGAACGGTAGATATCTTTGCGCAATACATGACGGCATGATGACGGGTTGTACGTGTAGATACCGACCCCCTCCGCAGTCGGATGCGACAGCCATTTCCCATACGAGAGGTAGGTGATCGACGCGCTCCGAGATGAGAGTTCCGACAAGCACGTCACAGTATAGTCTACACCGTTCACCGGTAACTGTGTACAGCAATCAGCAGGGAGCATGCAACACACGATGCTCGAACAGAATAACGAACCGCCAACGGCACGCAAAGTTGCAAATCTTCACCCAGGGCAGACTGCTGAGCAAATCGTGCCTCTTGCTGCTTGCTGAAGATAAAAAACCCGGCAGGGCGCATGTGCCCGGCTAGGCGTGCGGTGCTGTGGTCATTCTCACTGTCGCCGTCCTTGTAAATACGTAACTACGCCCTCTCTGTCGTCTCGCTCTCGCCCCCTCGGTACGTTTTTTGTCCCCCTGGGCCGCTCGTTGTGCCGTATCTCTCCGTTGGATCTTTTCCTGCCCACAACAACCGAACCAACGCAGATTTAACGAACAACAAGATGCCTTCCACCGCCACCCTCCACTACTTCGGACTCCCCGGCCGGGGGGAGGCTACCCGCGTTGCGCTCGCCTACGCCGGGAAGGACTTTGTGGACAACACGATGGGGTTCCCTGAGTACGGTGCCTGCAAGTGGGCGGGCAAGGGCCTGCCTGTCTTGGAGGTAAGACAAGCCAGCTAAGCTATTTATCATGAACTATTGATGTGTCGGTAGTCGGCCGAGCTAAAAGATGCATCGCGTGGTGGCCTCTTCGTGGTGTTTCTTCGCGTTGTTGGCACACAAACCAGTGGGCACATATTATTGGTAAGTACGTTGCGTACAATAGACTTGGAGCGATACTACCAGTGGGTCCGCTCGTCGTTTCGCGTAATTATGCCGTTCTGTAGGACTTTCTCCGAGCTTCGAGAGAGTGGAAAAATGCATGGCTGCTGTACCTCGTATTATTGTAAGCTGTCTCCAATCAGTCAGCTGTGCACATGTCACACACGATGCACAAGGCGACCGGGACAGCGCCGTATCCCTCATCGGCCAACCAAATCAGAACCCTTTGTTGTCTTATTATCTGGGGGCGTGCGCATGTGGGGTAGAGAGGAAGTGGTAATTGTAAGGGTATTTTAATGTACAGCGACACGATTGGGGCATGGTGCTTGGCGATAAAAGCCCCACTTAAGCCCCCGGAAACCAGCTCAGACGGATGGGTGGTGCGAGAAAAATACGCGTACCTTTGGCCTTCCGCCGGTGTTCCTTCATCACCATCTCTCGCCGCGTATACCCACAGTGGGAACAGTGCTCCGTCCTCTCGAGGACGCGTGGTCAATCAATGGTCTGTTATAACAACGAAGGCATGCGAAACTTGAGTACGCTCTCTCCCCCTCCCCCCCCGCCGCCCCACCGGTTGGATATGTTAATGCTACCTGACAATCATCATCAGATGGACGATGCCGAGTACTTCCAGTCGACCGCCCTCCTCCGGTATGCCGGCAAGCTGGGAGGCCTGTACCCCGACGATGCTCTCGCTGCCCTCAAGGTATGTGCACTCAGTCTGTCCAGAACGGAACATCGACAGGGGCTCTTCGTCTGACCCCCCCCCTCCACCCGCCCCCCGCCCGCCCCCCCGAACGAGAGAGGGTAGCGGAGAGGTGTTTCTTGTCATAAATGAACCAATGTTAAAATAGGGTTACGGAGGGGGTCCAGTTCGCCTCTTGCGCGTCGCGTGAACCCTGACAGCGAGGATCTTGGCAGCCGCGTGTAGAGATGTAAGAGAGAGAGAGAGAGAGAAAGAAAGAGAGACAAGAGACAGACAGAGACAGAGAGACAAGAGAGACAAGAGAGTGTGGGGAGGGCGGTCCCAAAATGAGCTTGGCGTCCGTTACCGTTGGTTTTGTCCCCTTCCCAGTTGGTACTGCTACTACTGCATGCTGCTATTTCGGTTGTCTACGCCCCCTCTCGATCTCTCCCCCCCTCTTTCCTTCACTCCCTCTCCCTCTATTTTGACCATTTCCTTTCTCTCTGTCGCACCCAACGCTCAACATGTCGTCTCGCTTGCTCGGCAATAAACGTTCACGGCAGGTGGATGAGATCGTGATGATCGCGGAGGACGTGTTGACCAACATGTTCAAGTGCATGGGCCAGAAGGACGACACCGTGGCCAAGGGAGTGCTCGAGGGAAAGGTGGGTGTGGGTCGTCGTGTGACGCAACGATTGTACTGGTGGACGCAAGCGGGCGGTGGGTGGTGCCTAAGGTATGCATACGCAAAGCGAGAGAGGTTGTTTAGTAGCATGGTGGATGACAAGGGCGAGGCGCGAGTAGATAGTCAACGTATCAAAAACAGGCATCGAAGAATGCGGGTCCGTGAGTACAGAGGACGAACGGTTTCGGTGGAAAACGTGCGTGACGGCGGTACGATAGCTGCTCCCGTGGAGGTCGATCCCAACCTTTCTTCGACCGCCTTGATCGTCCTACAGTGTAGATGCGGAACGGAGAGGACGAACCGTTTCGGTGGAAAACGTGCGGGACGGCGGTATAAACAGCCGCTCCCATGCAGGTCGATTCGATCCTTTCTTCGGTCGCCTTAATGGTCCTTATCGTGGCCTTTCAATGGCCTGTTTCCCGTGATCACGCTTGTCCTTGCCCAGCCCTTGAGATGTCTCACCAGGTACCCCTTACCACTCCAACGATTTCTACAGTAGTGTCCCTGACCATGCCATCCCGACTCGAATCCTCATTGTCCCTTGGAAACAACAGATCAAGACCCTGGTGGACATGCTTGTCGCCAAGCTTGCGGCTAACCCGTCGTCCAAGTTCTTCGTCGGCAACTCCCCCACTATCGCGGACCTCCAGGTGCGTGCGTGAACCCTTCCTCAGACTGTTCCACGTGTTTCCAGACTGCTCAGTCCTGCGGTACTATTGCCTTCGATTATCACCGCGAGAAGAGTGCAGCGCTCTCTTCCCTCTTGTGTACACACGAACTGCAGTACGGTGACCAAGTTGCCATATCGATGACCGCTTAACGCCTTCCCTAGCCCCTCCATTCGCTCGTCGCACATCTGTCTTCGTTTTTCTTCTTCACGTTGCGAGAGTGATCGTAACCGCCCAGGATCACTTCTTCGATACTCTCCCGCCCCATCGCCGCCGGTTCACTGATGTCTAGGTGCTATTTTTTTCTACGTAACTGCAACCACAGGTGCACGCCGTAATCAAGAACTTCGAAGCGAA